GGGCCGAGCCCTTTCCGGTGGGAGCTGGCAAGTCCCTTGGGTGGACGTATCCCCTTCGTGAGGTGGATTGGTCCCCCGAGGGCTGAACCCTTACCGGTGGGAACAGGCAAGTGGGAGTGATGGCCCGAAGAAGCACAGCTACAAAGCCTGGGATTCACCTGTTTGGGGTCTCTTCAGCACACAGTTAGAGCCCAGGACTGTTTGCAGACAACTACTTCTCCGACCACTGCGGTCACTCGAGCCAGACCTTGAGCCACAAATGGGATTTTCACACCCCCTCTTGGACTGATGCGGCACCTAGTGTCTTTTGAGCACACTTTACAAGCTCTAGACCTAGCTTTTCAGGATAGAACCCTGAATCTTTTAATTCCACCTGTACATGTTCATGCACTTGGTCACATTCCCTTTTAGGAAACACTTTGACCCAGCGTTTACTGTTCGTGGCAAAGTACCACCGTTTAAACACACAGTCGTACGCACAGCGGTCTACCACAATACCCTCAGAAAGCCCCAATTCTGAAGCAACCTGAAGATACCGCGGGTCCTTCCAGAGGTCGTTCTGCAGAGGCCACTCTTGAGTCAACAACAAGCGTTCACTCCGAGCAACCGGTTTCAACAAACCTTCAAGAAGTTCCCAAGCACGCTGATGCAACTTCTTCTTCTCTTCCCACTTCTCTTGACTGTACTTGCGCCACCCGCGGTAACGCAAACGACACCCAGTGGTACAGGGAGTGGAGATATGGCAGTAGATCTTCGTCTTCAAGCCACAACTCAACACAGAAAACAACTCCTTCAGAAAACACTGCGTCTGCTCAGAACAAAAGTCAAGCTTCTCAGTGACGCCCACATAGGCAATCTCAAGCTTCTCACATGCCTTCTGTAAGGCACTTTCTTCCTGGCAGAACAGTTCAACGACCACAAAGGTGACCTGGTTCTTCGCCACAGCTTCACACAGTGAAACGTACTCCTCAGGAACAAAAGAACGGTTTACCGGCTCTTCTGCAGTCAGGCGTTCCAGCTCAAACTCACCCAACTCATCTTCAAAAGAAACCAAACCGGTTACCTCGTAGAGGTTGTCCAGCTGCTCCTGAAAAACCATACTCTTGGTCAGGCCGTCGGAGGCATTATATGCTCCGGCCACAAACTCGAGGATCACTCTCCCCGACTGAACCATCTGCTGCAGGAAAGCACACCGCAACTCCAGGTGACGAACCCTTCTCAAGAGTCCCTCCATTGAAGCAATCGCCTTTGCCGACTCAGAATCGGTACAAATCCGGATCCAAAAGCTTCCGGTATCATCCTCAGGCAATCCCTCCAAAAACGACTGTTGAAGCAACCCTGCAAACAAAGCCTCTTTCACAGTCTCTACCAAAGCACTCAATTCAGCCTCGGCACTGCTCAGGGCCACAACCGTCTGTTTACGGCTAAAACTCTTCAGCAGGTTGCACTGCCAGCAGATAATCGCCCCACTCACAGAGGGCAAATTCCAGCTAGCATCACAGAAACAATCGATCACACGCGTACTTTCCGAAGGGCGATAGTTCACCCACTGTGCCGGGATCCGCTGAACCCGATTCCCAAGCGTGAGAATCCAACGCAGCACAGCTCGAATACACGCTTCACTCCTGGAGTCTGGGTTGCTCTGGCTCCGGGCCAGAAAACCTACAACAAACTGCAAATCAGCTCTTGTCAAAGCTAGCCACGACAGTTTGCCCAACACGCGCCGGTAGCGCTGATAGGCCTCATGCGTGATCGGGGTGGATTCCAGACTGGTCCACAAACGCTCAAGCTTGGGGAGTTTCGCTCCCTTCGTGATTTGATACTCTTCCGCACAGCTATGGAGCATCCCGGGTTTGAGTCCGAAGTACAAGTCTCCGGTCTTCCTCTGATAAATGTTTCTCCCAAGGAAGGAGATCACCGATTTCTCTCCCGGTTGAAGCGTTCCCGTGCGCTTCATCTTGAACACTTTACTCAGTTCCTCAAACACTTTCTCAGCTACACTCGCAACCGTGCTGAAAACCAAGATGTCATCTACATAGGCCAACACCAACACAATGGCATCCTTGCCTTTCTCCTTGATCACCTTGCGATACACAGTGCTGTCAGCAGTAACAAAGAAACCAAGTTTTCTCAGTGTTTCTCCTAGCTCACGAAACCAAGCCAAAGGCCCAATCCGCAAACCATTCATGGCACGCTTCAGCAGACAATGCACACGTTCACCTGACACTGTCCTACAGTTCTCCGGCAGCTTCACCACCTCAGTAGAAAACAGCTTAGCCTGCATGAAGGCCACAGAAATATCTCCCGAAATCACCTTCCCTCCGAAATGCGCATACATCCCCAACAGACACCTCACAGACTCTAAGGTAGTAGTAGGAGAATAGATGCCATCAGCTAAAGCAGAGGTGGGCCCTTTAAAGTCACGCACAACCAAACGGCAGCGCACACGCTTGTGCCCGTCCTTGTAGTGCAACACCCACCTGGTGGAAAGCACTCTCCTCTTAGCTTCCCGCACAAGGCGAAACGCCTCCTTCTCAGACACAACCTGGCACACACCAAAGTGGTCCAGTTCCTCCATTTCAAGACGCATCCCTTCCCCAAGTTTCTTCTCCTCAAGAACCTCCCCAGTATACTCATCAGCAGCCCCAGAAGGAACCTCAACCTTCACCTTGGACCCTCCAAACTTCAAAGTAAACTCCAACTTGGCCGCCCTAGACCCTTTAGCGTCCTTTGCCGCGAACACAACCTCAGGTCTAGAACACATGGAGTACAAAGCATGGTCCTCCAGCCAGCTGATCGCCACCTCCATGGGATCATCATCGTCGGCCGGCTGCATGTCCACATCGTACAAAGGTGGGGCCTCGTTCTCTCCTGCAGGGGGACCTTCAGGGAGTACCTCTTCCTCCTCAACTGGAGAAGGATCATAGTCCATAAGCTCATCCTCCAAGAGCTCAGCTGGAGCCTCCGGCTCCGCACTCCCCCTCTCAACTAGATTACCCTTAGGCTCTCCAGGCTGAAAGGCTTCGGGGGGCTTCAGGTCTAAGGAAACAGGACGCTCTAAAACGTTGTCTTGCCTAGAAGGGGCACCCGAATCAGCGGCTTGTACCACCAACTCCTCAGGATACAGGTAAGGCTGGTCCGGCCGAAAGGCCGACATCACCTCGACCTCATCAGGCCGATCAAGAGGGAGCACACGCACTCCTCCACCATTGGGCTTAGCAGGCCCTAGGTACATACACGGGATGAGGCGGCGGCCTCGATTCTCAGGCTTCTGCTTCGCAGGTTTGGCAAAACCCTTGCACCCAAAAGGAAACGTCTTCGTTACTGGAAGATGTTGGCGTCTCAGCCTTTCAATTGGCGTGGTTTGCGACTTCGAGGTCGCATGCAGGTTCCTTGTCCTAGCAACATATCTCAAAGCTTCCTTGTACAACAAACCACCCAGCCGGAGCTTCTTCTCCAGCGTAGTTTCTAGCGTCAACCAATTCACCCAGAAGGCTTCCTTCAAGTGTCGCACACCTACCTCCACAAGCCCTTTCGACTGCGGCCGTCCTTTCGGCACCGCGTCTATGTGCAACGAGAGGCCTGGGTATGAGCGGTCTTTTCCCACCTTGTTCCAAAGCGAGATCAGAGACGCTTCATTATCCATCCTCAGCACAACATGCTGACCTTGAATACCTGCGGCGGCCAGCTCGGCGTTTATACACCGTGCAACATGCCCTGGATCACCTCCTGTGGGGTAGGGCACAGCGAAACAATATCCGCTAAGCTCGTGCACCACAATGCACACTCTCAGGTCTTTCGTAAAGAACAAGAAGTCGCTTAAGAAGCTTGCTTGCGGAATTGAAGGATCTTTGCGCCTTCGCGCTGGAATCACTCCTCGACTGGACACACACAAAGAACACGAAGGCAGATAGGGCTGATGGCCCCGAGCAACGTGCTCCTGATACTCTTTATCCTCCAGTGGAACATGAAGTTCCCCTTCTTCAGAAATATCCCCAGCATCTTCAGCAGCAGGCTCGGCTTCAACAACCGGTGCTGGAGCTGAGGCTTGGGCGGGTTCCGCCTGCCTTGGTGGATCACCATCCGGAATCAACTCTTCATCGGAAATCGTCACTTCCACCGGAAGTCCACGCATCATGCACAAACGGTGTGGCGGCTCAGACACTTTCTCATCACAGCCACCTTTCACCTTCAGTGTTCTCACGCCTTGAGTCGAACCTTTGAGCCTTGAGGGTTAGGGTCGGGTTTTAAGGGAAATCAAAAGTCGTTGGAAAATCAACTGCATCTGACGCTCGAATGCATTCACCAAGGTTCCACACCAAAGCTCAAGCAGTAAACGATCGAACATGCAGTTGCTCAGAATCACTCTTGAGGCATCGCGCAATCGAAGGCATACTCGAAGACCATTGTTTTCAATCGGTGCGTCGAACTGGATCTTGCCGTCTGAAGCCTGGACCACATGTTCACATGACGGTCGCAGTTGCCTCGAGACCCCCGGTGTGGGAGGGCGGGTCACAAAAGAACTTGAGTCGTAACTTTGCCGTGCAAGGATCTCATTCACACTGTACAGTGATCAAGCACTCAATCTAAAATCAAGCCGAGGTAAAATCAAGCTCAAGTGAAATCGTCAATCACATGTCCGCAAGGATTCAAGCGTTCAGAGTCGAACTGTTTTTCCCCCCCACCCCCCCTCAAGGCTCTCGAACACACTTTTGGTAGGACCCAAGCAGCGTGTTCTCACGCCTTGAGTCGAACCTTTGAGCCTTGAGGGTTAGGGTCGGGTTTTAAGGGAAATCAAAAGTCGTTGGAAAATCAACTGCATCTGACGCTCGAATGCATTCACCAAGGTTCCACACCAAAGCTCAAGCAGTAAACGATCGAACATGCAGTTGCTCAGAATCACTCTTGAGGCATCGCGCAATCGAAGGCATACTCGAAGACCATTGTTTTCAATCGGTGCATCGAACTGGATCTTGCCGTCTGAAGCCTGGACCACATGTTCACATGACGGTCGCAGTTGCCTCGAGACCCCCCCCGAAGGAAGGCAGCCAGTCCGACATGTGAAGGATCACCAAGGTGTTTTGCTCGTCTCCTTCTCCCGGCGAGACATTGCCGACTCCCTCGAAACCAATCGCTGCAAGCTGACACGCGAATCCAAGAAAGCACTCCTGGAGTGGACCATGCGAAGGAAAATATCAAGCGGCAGATCGTCCAGCTTCAAAGGAACTCTCAGCTCCGGGCAGAAACTCGAGAAGTCGTGGTTGGTGATGGCATCCGACAAAGTGTTCTCATCTCTAGGCCTCCACTGCAGCGTGAGCTGCTTGTTCACTTTATGCAGAGCCGCTGCACAAGCCATCTGGATGCCCATCAACGGCCACTTAGTGCTCGAGCCCTTCTTCTGCAGCTTGCCAGTCGAAGAATTGCCAGTTCCGCCGCAAACCACAGTCCTGATGTTGTCGTGCACACCCGACGTCTCCTTTTCCAGGTGATCAAAAACTTTCAACGCAGCAAGCGAGGCCAGCAACTCCGCACTCGTCGATGCCCATTGGCTATCGCCGTCATCTTTGAAGAGGCAAGGCAGATCCTGTTGCGACACATCGAGGCAGAACCAGCGTGCAACTGACGGGTCCGTCCCATTCTCAAGCGAGTAGCCGCCGAGCACCACCAAGCCGTTTGTGCATTTTGCATCCGTCCTGAAACTCTCGCGCGGCGCCCGCCAATCCTGGAGCACACTGTGGAGTCCCCTGGACTCCGCAAGCTGTTCCCTGATATAAACAAGCGACACGAAGACCATCTCCGGAATCCTCGCCACAGTCCCCTTCTGCAAGACGGCATCAAAAGCATACAGCGGTGCAAGAAAAGGTTTGATCCAAGTCAACACCCTGGAAACAAAGTTGAGCCGTCCAAGGAATTCGGCAAAGCGCCGACCCGTGACGAACCAGTTGTTCGCCTCGGCATTGTCGATCCAATCAAGAACCCAGCGCGTCCTCTTGAGCGAAATCCCGGCGGCACTCTCTCGGTAAGAAAGCCAGTAGCCCACGAACTCGCATTCAACACCACCGTGAAACTTCCGGTAAGAAAACGGCGTGCCCAGCACCTCGTAAGCAGCCAAGATCATCCAGAGCACCACGTATTTGTCGGGACCAGTCACCACGATATGAAGGTCATCAACGTACACAATCTGCACATTCCAGAGCCGTCCCATCACTCTCAAGACCCAGCGTCCGATGCATCCGAACAATCTGGCCCAAAGGATCGCAGCTGAACTTACCCCGAAAGTTCCTACGCAATTAAGCCAAATCACTTTAGATGCAGACGAAGTCCGGCAGCCCAACAAGGGCCAGTCGCGTCGTCGTATTTTGGACCTCCTGTGTGCCTTGGCAATGTCCGCCGCAATGGAGAAGGGGACGCCGAAATCCTGCCGCGCCCTGGACACGGTCTCGATGATTTCCGCAGGTCCAGGCACTTCGAGTTTGTCTGCAATCCTTATACCATTGTTCAAGCGGACGCCGTGGGTGGCGTCGTGAAGAGGGCGGACATCACCACTTGGTTTAAGAATGGCCCCCATGGCGGCCACCAGAAGTCGCCCCTCGCCGTACTCCGCCTTCACGGCCCCTTCAGTCGTCGCCACCATCAAGCCTTCCCGCTCCTCAGCCCTGAAGTGCTCTTCGATCTTATCTGAAGACAGCTCGGCAGAAGAGTAGTTCTGCATCTGCGGTTCAAACTCACTCTCATCCAGCTTGCGGAAGCGGTCCCTCGGCCGGAACACCTGCGGCGCCGTTGGCAGTGGCGAGTCGAAGCCCACCGGCATCCCCTCGGCATAACACTCTTCCCCCTGCACAAGAATCTCCCAGTCGGGGTCACCAAGTAGCCTCAGCGACTCGGCCAGCAAGTACAAGTGGAACGGCTGCCGCTCGGGAACACGCAGCAGGTCTGAAGGCGCCCCTGGGATCAACCCGACGATCCTCTGCCTCAACTTCTGCAAGGCAGACTCCGCGAAAGGAGAATTCTTCACATGGCCCGTCGCGAGACGGAACGCCATGTCCTTGGGGTCTTTCAGCTGATCAATCACAAAGTCTCGTAGCAATCCGCGAATTCCCTCTGCATGTGCCACCTCATCACTCGACGCCAACTTCTCTCTCGCCTCGGGAGCCCAACGGCCAGGCGAACACAACCCGAAGCCGTCCACAAACTCTTGCTTGCCCATTTCAAACTTGCAGATCATAGGCTGCCCGAAAGCGCGACTAGTCTTGGGGTCAAAAGCTTCCCTGGCCGACTCCTCATGATCGATCACCACGACCTCCTGAGCATCTCCAGTGCCTGAGTTGTCTATCGCCGGCACTGCTGCAGCCAAGGTGAAGTTGTCTGAGGAAACGAAGGATTCCGCTGGTGCCTCCCCCCCCGCAGGAGAGGAATCCAAGACAGGAAAGCCCAATGAAGCCAGAAAAGCCGAATCATCAACAGAGAGCAGGTGCATGTTCTGAGGGGTGTATGCAATGGCGATGAGACGATCCCCAACCCAAGGTTGGGTAGCATGCAAACATCCACGGGCATCCAGGTAGACGGGTCCGTCTTGTAAGGAGTGTACAGTGCCTGTGACGGGCGAGCCGTGAAAGGATCGCACCTGGGTACCTGAGTCATCCTGTATCCAAATGCCACCATCAGTAAAGGAGGAAATTGCCACAATCATGTTGGGCACAGCTGCATTTCGCGGATCACGATGAACCTCACTAGTCACGTTCTTTGTGAGAACAAAAGCAGCGTAACGGTGGTGCGGGTCCACGGAGTGAAGAAAAGCATTGATCACACGCATGGACTCGGGGAATGTAAAACAAGTGGACCGCGGTGCGGTGAGACCCTCCTGGTGCACAGTGCCTCCAAAGAAAGCGGTGCCAGGTTCTGCACTGCCCGTGATCTTATGAGGCCGAGTCTTAGGAAGCAAGTCGAAAAGAATCTGAACTGAAGCACGATCGAAAGAACCGCGTGCGATGCACTCCGTGGCAAAGGCTTCGGCGGATGAAGGGATGTTGGCTGGGATCAGGTCGGAGTCAGCCACGGCCCTCAGCTCAGGCATCACACTCAAAGAGAGACGGGCGAAGAAAGCAGCGAACTCCGAAGGGTAAGCCGCCGTGGCGGCCGATTTCCAAGTGCCATCCTGAAAACCGCAGGCTCGATCTGCATGTGAATGCGGACAGCGCAAGAGCGGCCCCACGTAGTCCCCGTCATCATTGAAACATGGCATCTGTATCCCAAAGTTCAATGCTCCGGGCAGATTGGATAACAAGCGAGTGGGTTTGCAAGACATAGCCCCGAAAAGGCATTGATGCAATGCCCAGCAACTGACATCGCCTCCAGCGCAAATCTGACGAACCTCATCAAAAGACCAAATGGAAGCAGGCCTCTCACCAGACGGCACACGGCCCAGATCCTCAGGGTGCTCAAGAATGAAGTACAAGCCCTGCTGCCTCTGTAAACGGATGGCCTCAAAAGATTGTTGCACGAAGAAATTTGCCAGCTCAACTTTTGTGCGATCTGAATCACGCAACCAAGGAAAACCCAGCAGATGGCCATGTGAACGAAGTGGGCGTGGGCCAAATGCCCCCGCAAAACGATGTCTAGCCCGCGAAAAAGTGGAACAAGGCGGGCTCAAAATAAGGATATCATAGGCTCCAGACGAAATGTCCTTGAAAAGACGCTCCCAAAGCCTGTGCGACGATAGGTCCTGTTCAGGACCCCGCAGCAAATCAAACTCATGCAAAATTAAATCCAGTCCCCGCGACGTGCAGAGCTGCTGTAAGTGTGATCTGATATCTCCATCCCGTGCCTGCCCAGCGAAAAGATACAGCACGGTGAGTTTGGAACGTCAGTTGGTGGCTTGCGCCCCGGTCGGTGCTGCCGCCTTTGCTGCCAAGCTCTGGAAATGCTGCCACATCGGATGGGACTGCATGCACCCTCGGACGCGACATACATGAACTCGACCGCAGCTGCCATCACAACCCTGAGCGTTATATGGAAAACAAATCTGACGTCCATCCGGCGTGTGTGTCCAGAGCGCATGATCACTCTTGCCCTTGCCACCGCCGAGACCCTTGCCATCGCCCTTGGATTCATCGCGGTTGGCCTTGCCCCCTTGCCGTTCTTGCCCTTTCCATGGCCACGTCCTTTGCCTGTTCGCTGCCACTTGGCCGGGCTCTCGGACCAATCATTGTCCCACTGTCGGAACCGTCGCTGTGGCCAGAAAGGATCTGGCCGCGGTGGAGGTGCAACCTGCTGAAGGGCAATGGGCGATGTGAAATACTGCTCCTTGAGCTGAGCATCGGACGTCACCTCCACGAGTGTATCCTTCAAAGGCCGATTGCCCTGTACAGCCCGTTTGATTGCCTCCTTTCGCAACTCAAACTCGAAATTCAGCAACACTGACCAAGGGGGCCGCAATGGTACATGTTCGGTCTGATTGCCCTTGCCCCCTGCCATCGGCACCTTCATAAGGTAAACCTTGTCAGACAGCAGAAAAGCAACATACTGATTCCAGCACTCGGGGTCCATGCCTCGCAAGAGCTCGCGGTTGCGATACTTGGTCGCCAAGAAGCACCACAAGTTGCACTCAACACGCATCACCGTGCGCAATTCCTCAGTGCCCTGAGGCAATGATCCCTTGACCTTTGTCCGCACGATGCGAACATGGCCTGAAGAATCGACTGCAGTCTGGATCCCCTGAGTCTTCACAGTCTTGCGTGATGTAACCTCGGACAGCGGCGAAGCCGTCGGCTCATGAGCCTCAAGCTCCTCCATCTTGCATGAGATGTAATCCTCGGAAGGCTCATGTGCATCTTCAAGCCTGCCGTGGGTCGCCTCGAAGGCGGCTCTCATCGCACTCCGATCTGTCTGTGTGACGGGCCTTGAAACCCCCAACACGCGCGCTTCCGCGCGAAGCTCCTGCTCTTTCGCGGCAAATTGTTGACATGCCTCCCAAGCACTAATCACAGCTGAGATCCCAGCGCGCTTATCAAGAGTGGTAGGCTCCAGAGCGAAATCGTTCTTCAATGCATCCCGTATCCCTGCACGGGTGTCCTCATAAGACTGAAACCGCCTCACAGTCTTGAAAGACTGTGTGAGTTTGTACTGCAATCCAAGCGGGACTCCAGCTTCCTGAAGGATGTGTGCAAGTTCAGCATCGACTTCAGTGGACAAGAACTTCGAAGCCGCTTCCTCACTCACTCCAGCTGGCAAATCCATGTCTGGAACTCACTGCAAGCTACCACCGAACACACTGTGTGAAGAAATGCCACTGTGTCTGAAGAGTCTGATTGGCTCACCTCAATTCGCACAACATTAAGACAAGAAAGACATGTCAAAGCACTGCACCTGATACTGACGTGACTGCGGCTCTTCTCAATCTGATGCAATGTCCCAATCTGATACTCACGGGACGTGGCACAACCGAAGTACTTCCTGCTTTGACTCACGGGACAAGCCCCTGATGCGACGAAATTTTCACACCCCTCATGTGTCACGGCTCCACTGCATCTGAGGATGCGGACTCACTGCTGACCGCCCCTTGCTCCTTTAGCCGGGGCCTGCATAACTTACAAATTGCATCTGCAGAATCCTGAGTGATGCTGTACAAAGGAATGGTCTCCAAGCAACGCTCCTGCCTTACAGCACAAGTGCGTGACATGTGAAGACGTCTGTGCCCACTACGACTCACAACAACAAAGTATGGCGCATCTGCATCCTCCGGAGAAGGCGCCGGCTGGTCCTTCGGTGGCTCGGCCACCGCTTGCTGATGGCTTCCGGGGTCAACTGCAATTGCCGGAAACTTTCCTTGAAGACTCCAGCACAAGTTGAGTGCACACCACACCATGACATTGTGGCGTGCAACAGCCCCGTTAGAAACTCCATGTTGCTCCGCAAACGCCTTTAAGCGAAGAAGCAGCTCCTCCTCGATGTAGCCGGGCTGGTTCTTCCCAGTCAAGAGTGTTTCGCACACCTCAGCCTGAACTTGCTGTATAATTTGTCTGGCCGTCAGCACATAAGCGGTTGACCCCTGCCGGGCAGCCGCCCACCGTCCGAGAAAGTCGCGCTTCTTTTCGTCGATCCCAATTGCTGCCGCCAAGGATGGAAGGAAATGCCTCGGCGAGTGCCCGGACCAGAAGAGCGCCAGCTCCTTCGGAACCAGCTTCGTTGTCTTGCTCAGACCCCAGACTCCATCTTTCTTCCCCGGGACCGGCAGCTCCAGGATCACACGTCGTACAAGGTTGGCGACGCCCTCTGCTCCAACGTACTCCCTCGATTTGACTTCCCACGACTCACCAATGTCTGGACACAAGAAATCCCGAGCAAACTTGAAATCCTCGCTCATCAAGAGTTTGCATGAATGCGCAATCCAGTCATAGCCAGAAAGGCTTATGCTCCTCACAAGGTATCCGTGCAGCTGCCCGATCCGTTTTCCAGGTCCAGAGGTCTTGGTCCGAGAAAGAACAAATTTCATTCCAAGCTGTGACAGCGTAACACTCGAAGGATCGATCCCCTGTATATCGTCACATCGCAGCGTTCCCCAACACATAAGCAAGAAAATGAAGCATCCGAACCGCAGCCCAGGGGGTGTCCCGACCTTCACCAGCAGAATCTCAGCCGAGAGCACCATCGCCACCGTAACGAGCTCCGCCTGCTTGACCGGCTCGGCACCTGTCTCCAATTGCATCGTCCATGCCTTCACAGACTCCACAAGTAAAGGATCCTCCGACAGCCTATCTGCTGAAGGCCTCTGCCCAACCAGCTCCAGCAAACCGAGGCTTGACAAGATACTCTGCGGAACAGTCTTCCCCATCGGCCTGATCTGATGCCTCTCATCAAAGTACTGCAGCAACAGCGATGCGTCTCCTGGCCAAGGTTTCCCGGTCGCCTGAATCATCCACTCGCGCACCGGCTCCCACGTGCGAGCCCGATTCTTCAAGGTCTTGCCTCGCCTGCTACCGAAAGCCCGTAGCCAGGCCGATTCCGCGTCAGCCAGCGACCCAATTCTCTCAGATGCTGGCAGATCCGCCTCCTGGATGTAGCCCGCGAGCTTGAGACCCCAGCGGCGCCTGCACAAGTCCTCTGCTTCCACACGCGCCCCTGTTCCAGCTTTGCGAAGCTTTAACTTCTTCTCAAGAGCAGCCAAACCCAGCACAGGGTCAGAAGCTATAAGCCCTTCATACAAATCGGCAGCCGTCACACTGGGCCCACGACGGATATAAGGCCCACGTCGGACATTCTGCCCGATCTCGCGAACAGTCCTTTCCACTGTCCCTTGATGAAGCGCGCACCACTTATGCACTGACTCTGTAAGCGCCACACGATCCTCAATCTTAAGAACATCACTCATCGAATCATCCACGATAGCCTGTACATCCTCAAGCGTAGCTGCAGCCAAGCAAAAGTTTCCAATATGCAAGAAGACCTTCGAAACACGCTCGCAGAAAACAGGGTTGATTTCTCGAAGCTGCTGCCACTCCGAGCCCATTGCCGGAATTCACTCATGGTGAGCCATAGCGCCGGAGGTCCCCTACGCCCACCCACTCACAAAAGAACTTGAGTCGTAACTTTGCCGTGCAAGGATCTCATTCACACTGTACAGTGATCAAGCACTCAATCTAAAATCAAGCCGAGGTAAAATCAAGCTCAAGTGAAATCGTCAATCACATGTCCGCAAGGATTCAAGCGTTCAGAGTCGAACTGTTTTTCCCCCCCACCCCCCCTCAAGGCTCTCGAACACACTTTTGGTAGGACCCAAGCAGCAAGGCTCCGACCTTAGGTCATCCCAGCCACAAGCACAACACAACCACAAGCCACGCACACGCTCCAAGCCACAACAGCACAAGGACCGCAGACGCCGCACACCAACCAGCACAAAACACTCCACGGCTTCAGAGGCTCTCGGTGCTTTGCTGGCTCTCGGTGCTTCGGGGGCTCTCGGTGCTTTGCTGGCTCTCGGTGCTTTGCTGGCTTTCGGTGCTTCGGGGACTTTCGGTGCTTTGCTGACTCTCGGTGCCTCGGTGACTTTGGACGTTTTGGGGGCTTGGGCTCTCGGGGCTTCTTGCGCGTACCCTGGCAAACACACTCGCACAGAGGACCCCAAGGCTTTAAGTAGAGCCTGAGCCTTTCTCACAAAACCCTCGCAAAACACTTGCAGCACGTCACTGGGCCTCCAGGCTTCTGTGGGGATCTGGGCCTCACACTCACTTGCAAAACCCTTCCCAAAAACCCGTAAAACCCTATAGCGCTGCAACCTCAGAACTTCACCCTTTCTACCGAGCACACCCGGACACTCACCACACTCAAAGCAACCTACTCTCACAGAAGATCGCTTCCACTTCCTCTTAAGACGCATCCTTTTGCACCCTGCGGTTGGTCGCACGGTAGGTCTCAGATAGAGACAGAGCGGGAGCGCCTCTTGGAGCCGCGTCCATGTTGCGTTGACCCTTGGTCTGGAGGGCCATACGAACCACCGAGTACCCGTTGTGTTGGGCGGATCGGTGCCTTGCTCTTTGGATCGGTCGGCGGGGCTTGCAGCAAAAGCGATCTGTGGTATCCCAGAGGCGGCTGCGGCCCCAGCAAAAACGATCCTTGGTACCCCAACGGCGGGGGCGGTAACGGCGGCAGCGGCACTGCTGGCGCTGCTGGCGCTGGCAAGGCCGGCATAGCCTTCACAGGCACCATCTTCGGAGGCGCCACCGGCCTCACTGGCATCGCCTTCACTGGCACCAAAGCAGGATCCACTCCAGGGAAACTTTGGCCGGCGACCTGGACGGTTTCACTTTGGGCGGCGGTGGCCCATCCGGAATCACAATAACGGCCGGCTTCAAGGTCACAGCCGGCCTGGTCACTGTCTTTGGCTTTGGAGCCAAACGAGGCTTTCCACGTGGATCTGAGGGCGCCGGTGTCATCGGCACCTCCTCCTCGGCAGCAGCTGGTGCCACCTCTTCCACCACAGCCTCGGCCGCGGCTTCCACAACCGCTTCGGCAGCGGCGTCCACAACCGCTTCGACAGCGGCCTTCTTCTTCTTCCGCTTTTTCTTCGCAGGCACAGGAACAGCTTCTTGGGCATCGACCGTGGTTTCCGCAGTCCCCACTGCCACAAGGAGGTCCACTGCACCCTGCTCCGGCTCCTGGGCCGGCCGTCCTTCGGATCTTTCGTCCAAACGGCTTTGCACCCATTCCAGGGCACCTTCGGCAAGCGCCTTGCCCTTCGCTACAGCACGGGCGTGCTGCTTCTTTCTCACAAGCCGCTTGGCCTTCACGACCTTCTTCTCCGTCCGCACCACCTGCATCAGCTGGCGATTGTAGCCCATCGTCACTGGACCACCATCCGCTGGCTTCCGCTCGTGCTTCCGGGCCTTCTTCTTCGAGGTGGGCGCGACAAACAAATGTGGATTCAGAAAAGTAGGGTCCACAGTGTCCGCCTCGGCTTCCTCGGCTGCTGCAGCCTCCTTCAAGGCCTTCGTGGCCTTCTTTGCCGCACCACGGACCTCCTTCAAGGCCTTCGTGGCTTCCTTTGTCGCACGAGATGCCCGCTTCTTCTTGCGCTTGGGCACTTTCTCGACGGCTTTCTCTGCAGCATCCAGGGCCTCGGCAACGTCCGTGGCCACACCAGACTCGGGGCGCCATTTGCCCCAGCCTTCTTCCTCTTCTTCCTCCAGCTTTGACGGCAGCGGTGATTTCTGCAGTGGCGATTTTGGCTGTGAAGGCACTGCCATTTTGTGCCACTCGCGAGAAATTTTGGTGAGCTCGTCGTGCTCCTCCATCATTCTCCGCTCGGATTCCTCCCGAGCCGTGCTTTCTATCACCGATGCGACCGTCACCACATCGGATCGTCGGGCAGACGCAGCGCTCTTCATAGCGGTGAGGTCCGCCATCCTCTGAGCCATAATTGCCGCCTGCGACGACCTTTCTTCCTCGTCCGTCGAGGATACCGGGGGCTCCGGCTGCTTCTTTCGTCGACGCCCCATCGCACAAAACGAGGAGCGTGAAAAACAGAAGCTTGAGCACCAAACTACGATGCACGACCCTTGCGCACCCTTGCAGTCTCCACTTGAAACCACCTTGCACAGACCTCGCGCACTCACTGCCTTGCAGCTTACGCCGTACTGACCTCGCGCACTCACTGCCTTGCAGCCTACACGAGGAACCGCCTTGCAAATCCTGACAAAACCCTAACCCTGAAACCTTGCACGCACACTCCCTCACGACACGCACTGCACTACCTTGCAGCCTCCGCAGGGAACCGCCTCGCAAATCCTGAAGAAACCCTAACCCTGAAACCTCGCAAGCACACTCACTCACTAAGGTCCACAGGGAGCACAGCACGCCAACGCAAGCCATGCACCACAAGCTCACAACACTTATCATCATCGACCCAGCGGTCCACGACGGCTGAGCCTCAGAATCTTTCTTGCCACTTCTGCTACCACAGCCAAAGCGGTCAAGCTCACAGCGTTCAAGAGACTCCAGAGCAGCACCCTCACAGACCGAAACGGCACTACCACCGTGCGTCCTCAAGCTCCTCAGCAGAAACTTAAAAGGCGTGTACTCTAGGCTCTTCACAGACTCCAAAGACCTTTGCTCCTGAGCTTTCTGGGCTTTCTGGGCTTTCGTGGCTTTCGGGGGTTTCGCGGTTTCAGGCTTTTCCGTGGCTTTCGGGGGTTTCGTGGTTTCAGGCTTTTCCGTTGCTTTCGGGGACGACGAGGGCTTCAAAGCATCAACCTCCATCTTATCCCCAGAATCCTTCAAAGCAGCAACCGCGTACCAAGCGCGATCCTTGACAGTCAACCGAATGCGTTTCTTGTTCTTCTTGTTGAAAATATGAGGTGTGTTGGTGAGCATGGTGTGCCATCCTCTCTGCCAAGCCACAAACGGTGACAAGACATTGAAATCTAAGTTCGTGATCAAGCAATGCTCTAGCACCACCACAAGCTTCCCAAAACGAACGCGAACGTCACACACCTTCAACACTTCAATCATGTCGTTGGAGGCATTCGACAGCGTGGGCTTAAAATCATAAGTGCGAAGGACTTCATACTTCTCGAAGCAGGAGACCGACATGCAATGAGAAGTAGCACCGCTATCCACTAGCCAGTAGCTATCTTGCGACTCAATGCCAACTAAGCACACTCTGTGCTCAACGGTCACTCGGTGCGCCGCAGCAGGCACCTCAGGTGTCGAAGGAGTCGTCCTCAAGACGCCACCGCGGGCATCAACCGGAATCAACTCGCCAGAAGCGCGAAGGGCCATCACAGTCTCTCCCTCCGGCTCTTCTTCTGCTTCACCATCCGCTACAGCACGGGCGTGCTGCTTTCTTGGTCTTCTTGTCCTTGCCCTTATCCTTGCCATGCTTGCCTTTGCCTTTCTCTTTGCCCTTTCCTTTGTCTTTGTCGCCTGGCCTTTGCCCTTGGGCTTGTTGCTCTTGTCACCTTTGCCCTGCTTCTTCTCATCTGCGATCCTCTGGCGGCACTCTTCTTGATAGTGCCCTTTCTTCTCGCAGTACCAGCAGACAATCTGGGACTTGTCCTTGGCACCGCCGGCTTTTCCTCCTTTCGCGCCTTTGCCGTCTTTCCCGCCTTTGTCTCCTTTGAGACCACGCAAACCACCACTTGGCAGCTCCACCATGCGCAGCTGCTCCTCGTAAAAACGAAGACTCTCCGCCATCTCGGTCCAACTGCCAGTCTTGCCATGCAGCATCAAGTACTCTCTCGCTTGCACTGACACAGCTTGCAGCAAAATGGCCGATCTGTCGGCGGCGTTCAAGCAGAGGTCGGAGATTTCGTCCTTGAGGAAACGCACAACTTCCAGAGGGCGCTTCAGCGCGGCAGTCTTTGTATGGAGCTTTAGCATTTCGTCTCTGATATACACCGCCTCCATGCGGCTGTTCACAGAGTACTGCCGGTAAAGCTCTCTCACACCCTCATATCCTGCAGCTGCATTGCTCTGGCGTGTCGAAACACTCCGGAGGATCTCCAATCCTCTGTCCCACTTTGCCAAAGCTTGCTGCAACAGGTAAAAAAGACGTGCACTTCTTCCCGCAGTGTCACTGGGCAAAGTAACCTGCTGGATCTCACCAGCAACAAACAAGCACTGCCTTAGCTCGCCAACAAAGGCGTCATCGGTCAATGCTAGCCAGCTGGACAGCACTTCCAGAAAGCGGTGGAACTCCTCAAGCTCGCGGATCCGGCCTTGCTTCATCTCACCAGCATTGATGAGAGGCAGAGGTGGCAGATACTTCTCTGCACGACCACCAAAACTCGAAAAGCTTCCAGAACTCGCAGCAGGCCCATTCGGAGGGGCAACAAGCGACCCAGTAGGCGCCGTCGGCGCTGCTCCAGAACTGCTAGCAGCCACTGCAGCTGCAAAGGGGTCCGAAGACACCTTTCGCCGATCCTCGTCGCCGCGGACAAAGTCTCCTAGCAACAGGCCAGACGAGGAAGGACATTCATTTACGAAGGACGTTCTACACTTCTGCGGCAACTC